GTCATCAGCAGAGACCCTAGCCCATTCGAGATAAGTCCTCCACAGATCATCTATTGAACATGACCAAAAAAAAAAAAAAAAAAAAAGTCATGAAAAGATTGGAGTCAGAGTGAGCCCGTCAAAAAAACCTTTTTGAAGGAAAGAAAGAAAGAGATGAGAGAGCACTGACAGGCGCGAAGATCCTGATATCTGAAGTGTTGATCAGCCCACGAAGAGCCCTGCTCGGCGATCGCCTTCGCGAGATGATCGAACCCATTGAGCGCCAAAAACCGCTTCATCTTCCTCTCGGAAGCCTGATCCTGATCAAGATCGAGATCGAAATCGAAATCCAACGAAGCTTGATCGTCAAGAGGCAGAGTATGGTTAAGAGGATCAGGAGAGCCGGTGAAGAAGCTCATCAGGTCGAACAGATCCTCGTAGTCGATCCGGACGGGGATGTAATGGTGCCAGGCTTGGATCTGGTCCCGGTACCATTCCGGCCAGATCGTCGACTTGAACACCAACGAATTCGACTTCAACAGTCGTCGGAACCGTCCACTCCATGAATTCCCATCCACATCTAAAACATACTATACATTCGCCCCCCCCCAAAAAAAAAAACAAATCATATTGGATTAGAACTTCTTCTTTTGACTGTTGTTGATGATGGAATGCGATTGGGGGTTACTTTGAAGTTGTTCTGGAATTGCCAATCCACAGGTTCAGCGAATTCGATTTCCTTCGAGATAGCTTCACAGGAGCTATCCTCGACGGTGCATTGCACGAGATCGCCTACGAAGGAAGCGGAGAGATAACGCTTAGCGAGGTGTGCGAGGGAGTATTCCTTTTCGAGAACGATGACGGGCCGATCTTGAGATTGGTTACGAAGGAGAAGAGGATCAGCGGAGGGGGAATGGGTGAGGATGGCGGGAGTGCGGAGATTCCGAGTGAGGTCCTGTCCGTACTGGTGATTGGGGGCCACGCCGAGTCGATGGAGTCGGACTCGATGTGACTTGCGCCAGTTCGTCTGCCGGTCAAACCAGACCCCCGTCGTCTGACCGCGCCATAACAGTCGTTGGTTCTCTCCCTTCTCCTCCCAGGTCTTCACTTGGTCCGCATTCTTCGTCGAATCCTCAAATTGCTCGAGCGGCGCATTCAGGATGTCCGACACAAAGCCCGGCGATTGGGCAAAGCTGAAGATCGGTCGCAATGGTAAGGGACGTGGTCCGGCCCATGCTGTGAAACCTATATCAACAAGATATAAATTCAGATAAGCCCTGAAACAAAACATTCTCTTATGTCAAGTTGAAGAGTACCATGGAATTCTTGCCATTCAGGATGTTTACATAAATCCATGGTTTTCGCATGATCCAAGCCAATATAACCACCCGGTCCAGCATGTTGCACTTTCAGATCTTGTGCAAGTCCGTTGGCCACCATCCGCATCGGAGAATCCGGCGCACAAGCTCCCACAAATCCCCACAAACTAATGATTATATCATTTCAATTTTTTTTTCTTTTTCTTTTGTAGAGTGGAGAGAACTCACCTTGCATCATCCTCTACTTTATCGATTAATTCGGGTGGCAAGACTAACAAAAAATAATATTAGGGGGATGAATGTTGCAGAAAACCGAAGGGGACAGTTCAGAGGGAGGATATTTGGAAGATACCTGTTCCGGCCCGGGCATGATCCAGATGGCGTTGTTTAGTTTTCCAATCCATGAAGACTGACGGCCCATCATGGTGACTCATGGTGACATTGACATCAGGAAGATGGGGCACAATCACTTCCAACCTATATATGCATCTCACTCAGTTTATGTCCAGAGAAAGGCCCAGTTTATGATTAGGATTGATGCTTACAGTTTGAGTTGGTCGATCGTTCGGGGAGCATCTTTCTTGGCTCCGATCGCCTGCACTTTTCCATCTTTGATCACAAACGTCGAGAAGGCTTCATTCTTGCCGGCCTCTTCGGTCCGATTCCTTAAGACTAGTTGAAATAGAAGATAGCGATCAGTTTTTTTTTACTGAAAGAAAGGGAAGAGGAGATGTGAGAGTACCATTTGGAGGGAGAGCCCAGAAGGGTTCGATGAGTTCGTTGACTCGATCGAATTCGTCGACCAACAGGACTTGGTTCTCTTTAGCCCATTCGAACCATTTGTCGAATCCTTTGGGTGGGGGTCGGTTGTAGCGCCTCTGATACTCCTGGACAGCCTGTGGGAGAGTTTTGCTCTGTCTGGCGAGTTTGTCGGACCAGGCGAGGGAGGCGTTGTGGATGAGTTGGAGGATGGGGTATTGGTTTGGGGATGGGTTGAGTGTCCAGGTGTGGTTGAGGTAGTCGTAGGGCAGATAGACATGATCGCGATGGTTGATGACTGGTTCAGTTCTTGTTCTTGTTGTGGGTTGTTGGTTTTTGATTGGTTTGCTGAAGAATCTTGCCCATGAGCTTGGTGGGTTGAGGAAGGTGTTGGTTGAGTGTTGTTCCTGTAGACATGAGTAGAGGGTGATGATGATACCGAGGATGAAGGCGGGTAGGAGTGCGATGGGATGGATGAGTGTTCTGTTTCTCTTGATCAGCTGTTTGTTGTTGTTGTTGTTGGTGGTGGTGATGGGTAGTAGTGATAGGTTTTCGGATGATGGTATTCTGCTGTAGTTTGTTGATGGTAGGAAGTAGTTGATAGTTTTCTTGATAGTAGTGTTGTTGTTGATTGGGAAGTAGTCGTCAGCAGGTGCTTGTTGTTCTTGTTGTTGTTGTTGTTGTTGTTGTTGTGCTTGTTCTTGTTGTTCTTGTTGGTTGTGGTTGGTTTGTAGTCCTGGTGTTTGTGCTTGAGTGAATGGTTGTCTCTGGTTGATGAGGTTGAGTTCGTTTGGTGGTAGTGTGAGTGATCTGGATCTGATCTGAGTGAGTGGATGGTTGTTCATGTTTAAATCTTCCTGTTGACCGTTTTATGTAATTCTTTTTCTTGTCAGACTGTTTTGTGTTGCTGATTCAGGTTGGTTGGGTGATGATGTCATCATCATCACTTTTTAATTCATCTCCGAATTTGGATTTCCGACTTCAAATCTGCTAAAACCAGTTCACCACAACCAGCTGCATCCTCCTGACTCCAGCAGCAATCGTCTGAACACCCAGACCATATAACATTCATACGCTCAAATGGCAAATCAAACTGGGAGAACCCAGAAGAAATCTCATCATTTATTAAGAAACATGATCTCATCTTGTCTTTCTTTTTCGTTTTGATCACTAGATTTACTGTTTACACAAATATCCATTGAAAGGAGCTGAGAATTGCAGGACTATGCAGCATATATGCTCCATCCCAATCTCCTGGTTTCATCATATTCATCCATCGTCACAATTTGGAAGATCAGTTGATATTGGTGCACATGTTGGAGTTGATGCATCATCACCACAAAATGATTAAGGAAAAACAAAATCAGGATTGGAACGTATTTTTCGTATAAAGCCTTACAATAATAATAAGGATTAAGCCGGATCCACAACTCACCCTAGATCTGTGCCAATTGAGGGTCTGGGAGACAACAATAATATTGACACTCGATATTTGGCCACACGAGTCGACCTGGCCGGGCCAGCATTCCAGGTGGATCACCGGAATGATTTTATGAAGGAGAGGCCGATTTTAATATTGGTTCAAGTAGTCAGTAAATATCAAGCCGATCATCACCTGAGTGGTTCTACTTCTACGGAACCCAATGACTGACTATCCAAATCAGTCGGACTACATATGTACCGCCGCTGTTGATTCGCCCAGTGCAGATAATTATGTAGGCCTTGGCGGATTCAAACAAGTATCTCGGAATAAAGAAGCAATGGAAAAAAAAAAAATAAGGATTGGGTTGAAGAAAAATCGATGATCAAATGTAATATATAAGGCTTGGATCAAGGAAGTCGGTGTTGTTTCCGTTTGAGCTGGAATAGTAATTGGGTTGCAGTGACTCAAAAGGCTCTTTGGAAATGTATATTAGACAACGAGATCTTTGGAACATTAAAGGACAACGGGAGGGAAGGAGAGCAGCCGGTTTCTCTGATCTGTTATCAAGTACCTTTCACTTCAGCCAGTTGGACTTGGAGAGTAAAATGCAAGATCGGCAAGCTGCCACAGTTTTCAACTCAAAGTAGGTTTCAAATTTTAAAGCATACATGCAGTGCATGTCTGCCACACAAATTACTCTTTTTCCAGGGAAGCTTGTCTCAAGTACTCCGTCCCTCTGTAGTCATGAGTGACTTGCGAGGACCGGAGGCTGATATGTAACAAACTTAACAAAAGCGCACCAAATAACAACAGCGTTGAGAGCACGGGATTAACCAAAGGGTTTTAGAAATGATAAGGGAGACGCGATTTGTCTTTCATATTTCATGCTTTCATGGATGCATGTTCTTTGCCTCAAGTACCTCATGGGTTGACCATGAAACAAAACAAAAACAAAAAAAACAGAAAAGAGCCGCTGCCTCTACAATTCCTGGCAAAATAGTCGAAAATGACTGGTGCTAATAGCCTCAGAGGATGACAGCACAATGGTTGCGGAGCTCGGTATCGTAATCAGATTTGCTCTAAAAGCGCCAAGGCGTGACAACATCCAACCGATTATTAAAAAAAAAAATCAATGATGCACTCGTGCACTCGGAGAAAAGAGAGAAAATGTAACTCACTGAGCTCGACCAGTTAGAATATTCTTTATCGCAGCAATAACCGAGCTGAGTGTGACTGCACTTGCTGCTCTCGTTGACTGTATTGGAAGTGCAGAGCGAGTGGATAAAAGTGGATTGGGAGGGGTGATTTATGCGGGGATATTAGATGTATTATTGGGATCGAAGCTTGGACTCACGGTGCCAAGTTCCTTGGTCATCGTAACCGCACGTCTGATAGGCACGTGTTGTGCCCTGGCAAGTGGATGAGGCCGCAGGCAAAACGGCAACAGTGGCCAGCAAAACGACCGAAATCAAGACCTTCATCGTTCCCGAACTGATCTTGTGGTTTATGGCTGTGAAACAACGGTGGACTGAGATTGAGATGACAATGTGTGAGTGCAGACGGAAGAGAGAAAACACGCTGACTGTTTCTTTATACCCAAGGAAGCAACTGGTCAAGCACCACCAAGCCCATCGACATGAATGAAGCCCATCTGTCTCGTGATCTTTTGGTGCTCCAAGTCCGGTCCGGAGGTGGGTGGCGGCCCTGGGCAGCCCAGACTCTCATGAAGCTGCCCGGGTTTGAGTCGCGACTCGCAGAGGTTTGAATGTCAATGGATCCGGACTTCATCCGGTTAATAAAGGATAGCGTCCTCGGGTGACAGTTCCACTCAAAGAGAAGTTAACGGCGGCTTCCCATTAAGTGAACTGTCATTAAAGAAGCACGAATCTGAATCCCGGAATCCCAGTAAGGAAAAAAACACTATTCAAAAATTCAATCTACCTGCTTGAAATGCATGAGGATGGATGATGATGAAAGACATGGAAGAAGCAACCGAGAGCAGTTCTAGCCTCTTCGCGCTGACAACTCAAGTCCAAAAGGCCAGCTGACTATCCGGTCAACTTGTCGTGCTTCAGCCGGTCATCCCACGATTGGCTTACACTTATCTCGACCATCAGACCCGCCGCAAGGCCTGGGTGCAAGCAGCCTGCAGGCCCCAAGTAAACTGTCATTCAAGAAGCACGAATCGGAATCCCAGTACGGAAAAAAACTATTCAAAAATTCAATCTATGTACCTGTTTGGAATGCATGAGGATGAATGTGGATGAAAGACATGGAGGAATCAATCGAGAGCAGTTCTGGCCTCTTCGCGCTGACACTTCAACTCCAAAAGGCCAGCTGACTATCCGGTCATCCCACGATTGGCTTACTTACCTCGAGCGCCAGACCCGCCGCAAGGCCTATACAGGCAGCCTGGCGGTGGTCTGGATTGGGCAAGGTCAAACAGTCCCAGATCTGCCGGTTTGTTACCGGGCCTACATGCAACTCTCATGAGCTGCCTACCAGCTCAACATCTGGGCGAGCCTGGAGCAAATTTTTGAGCCGCACACATCATTGTCAGAGCTATATACTCCACATGGGTTTTTTATCTAACAGATTTATTCAATTTTTGGATCAAGTGCTTCAATCTGTTATGTTAGCATTATCACAATCCACTTGGAAAAATTTAGAGGTCGAAGTGAACGGCGTAAGGGCGTAGCAAACGTGCACACTTTATGGAAGCTTTCCAGAATCACCACGGTCTACTATTTAGGTTGGTTTTTGGGCTTCGGACAATCATAATGTGGTGCACTCGTGGGAGATCGTTGCTCTTTGGAGGATATTACCTCTTGACTGAAGTTGATCAGAATGAAATCGTTCAGACGGATTGATTAGATCATAGGTCAATCGGAGATGGACGAAGTCTCTATTTGAGCTTATCTGAGCCTATCAAGTCTCTAGAACTCACCTGAGCTTTGTCCCAAGTGCCTTGATTGCAACATCGGTTTTGAGTGAATTGGCCACACACATTGGCCTGCCCGGGTTGAGAGTTTAAGTGTTTCACTGTTGATTCGAAGACGACGAATGAATCAGTTGGAATTTACTTGACTGATCAGTCGCCAGAAATGGGTAATTTATATCAAGTCGATGAAGCCAAGGGCCATACGCACTATCATATTCCTCCCCATTACCATTCTGGTGTGGCGTAGTGCAGAAGGCCTCTGGACGGTCTTTAGAACAGAAAAATTTCCCTTCGGCATCGACAAGCCCTGTAGCTGCAACCATGACAAGAAGACCTAGGATAGCTGATGTTGAAAGGTTCATGGCGGACTGAAGACGCAAAGAAAAAAGATCACAAACAAGCAGGAGGATTTGTCAACTCATAGGATGATCAACGGAATTTGGTGTAAGTGAGGAATGGTTTTGAACGCACCAGTTCTTGAGGAAGGTGTTCGTTTTTTGTATGTTTCTGGGAAAAATTGGGGTAAAGAGATTTCTTTCGAGAGACAAGGCTATTCCAAAGCAATCTTACACACCTCTGTCCAAGAGATTCACATACATATTTATGTCTTCCCAATGACCTTTCCAGGGAGCTGATTGTACAATTATAAATACTTTTGTATAGTACTTTATTGTATGTGGCATCCAGGCGCGTGTTTTGCCTGTATTTCTTCTCCATAAGCACAACTACAGTGCCCCATGTAGGGTCCACATTTTATACCTAAATAAGTCCTTCCCCCCTGGTGGGTGAAATACGAAGTCAGTGTTTTACCACTCTGTGTTAGGAGAGGGGTGCTTAGTGAAGTGAGGGTGATCAAAGACTCCAGGGGGATGCTGTGGCCAGTGTTGCTTGTGAAAGTTTTGATGTTGGGGGTTGTGGATTGTGGCCAAAATTTGAAACTTGCACACAGGGGCTCTTGCAAGTTGTATTAATTCCCCAGGACCCCAATTTATTTATTCCTCAACTAGAAAAAAAACATAAAAAACTAACAATGATGTATTTCCAAAAAGAAGCCAAGACCCTAGGAGAAAAACAACTAGAATATTAAAAGCAAAACAGAAAATGATATTGATACATAGAAATAAAGAGCTGCCAGTGTTGCTACTTGAGCATTTAGCATGTTTAGGATGAGTTATAGGTCCATCTCAAATGTTTTGGATAGTCAAATGATTCTTGAAAAAGCAACAGAAGATGCATTGAACTTGAAGTCAGGGGAAATGGAGGGTTGATGGAGGGGTCAGTCAAGGACTGAAGAATCACAGATCTGAACTTGAAGATGTAGCAGCCATGGGTGGGTAGTGGGTTGCTGCTGCGGGGTTGTAGCAACCCAGTTATACCTCTTGCGGTGGATATGCTTCAAGGCATTTCTCAACTAGGTTTCAGAATTTTGAAGATATGGACAAATCTGGGGTTTCCAACTTCAAGCCATCGGGTCAGTCAACGTATTCATTTTTGAAAAAAAGTTGTTCATAAACACCTTGAATTAATGTGCTTAAAAATGTCACAAATTTCAATTGTGAAAACCCCTCAAAATGACACATCATCCCTGACATGATTTCCCAGATGGGAAATCTTGTAAATTTTAGGGAAATCCTGTAAAGAATTAAAGTTTTTTCCAGATTTTTTATTTTTTTCTGAATTTTTTATATTTTTCCAGATTTTTTCAGATTTTTCCAGACTTTTTAGATTTTTCTAGATTTTTTAGATTTTTCCAGATTTTTGGGATTTTTTCAGATTTTTTAGATTTTTCCAATTTTTTAAGACTTTTCTAATTTTTCCAGATTTTTTAGATCTTTATTTAGATTTTTTCAGATTGTTTGGACTTGTTAATTTTTCTCAACTTTATAGATGTCTCTTGCAAAAAAAATCTGGAAAAATCTGAAAAATTTAGAAAAATATAAAAAATCTGAAAAAATATATACAATCTGGAAAAATCTAAAAAAAATTAGAAAACTCTAAAAATCTGGAAAAATCTTTAATTTTTTTTACAGGATTTCCCTAAAATTTACAAGATTTCCCTAAAATTTACAAGATTTCCCATCTGGGAAATCATGTCAGGGATAATAGCCCGGTTCACGTAGGTGCTCGTCCACAAATAAAATTTCTGCGACGAGCAATGCTTAACGACATCTCGTTAAAATTTTGGCGGGGTCCCACGCACAATTTAAGCAAAACAATTTAAGCGACGAGCAGTGTGACTTTTCACACATGTCATAAAAACGCCCTACGTGAACCGGGCTAATGTGTGAGTGACAAATCCATTTTGGAACATTTGAGGCACTTATATTTTTGGGCTAAGGGGCCGTTCGGACGCGCGGGCGAATCCCAAGAGAATCTCACCAGCCCCCGCAAACTTGAGATTATCCAGGACCCTGGAAACCCCCGAACTATGTGGGTGACCAAAATGTATGAATTTTTTAGAAAAAAATGAAAATCATACGCACGAAAGTGGTATGAATGAGTTTGGTTGCCTTAAAGGTTACGCACCAAACAGCCTATAAATGTATGAATATCCGCCAACTTGGCGGAAAACCTCCCAAAAATGGCCCGGTCCCCGGCTATTCGGGGGGATTTACTCACTTTCCGGGGGATTTTGGCCCAAGCATACGCACGAAATGTGTATGAATGGGCCCAAATGTGCCATTCCCCGGCGCCCCCCGATGTATGAATTTAGTGAAAATTCCGGGATTTTCGTCACCCACATTTATAGGGGGTTTCCAGGGTCCTGATTATCCCGAGATCCAGAATCTCAAGGTCTGAGATCCAGACGAGCTTCAGAAAAAGTGTTCGGCAGCCATGGAATCTTGAAAAAAATCCAAGATTCAGAATCTTGTCCTCCACCAGACTGAGATTCACCGTTTTTGCTGTATCTCAAGCAAGATTTTGAATCTCATGCCCTAACACCCTCAACACCTCTCCATGCCCCAAACAACCAATCGTTGCACTACAACTCTTGATGACCAGAATGACTGGTCATCAAGATACCATAGCTTTTGAAAACCGGACCTGAACAACCAGTCATTGCAAGATTGTAGCTCTTGATGACCAGAAAACCCAGTTGCCACAAGACTACAGCTCTTGATGACTGGAACAACCGTCATCAAGAGAATACATCCGATGACCAAAGAGAATGGTCTGGGTCAACAAAACTACAGCTCTCAATGACCAGTTGTTCCGGTCATCAAGACTACAGCTCTTGATGACCGGTCGTTCCAGTCATCAAGACTACAGCTCTTGACGACCGGTCGTCCCGGTTATCAAGACTACAGCTCTTGACGACCGGTCGTCCCGGTTATCAAGACTACAGCTCTTGACGACCGGTCGTTCTGGTCATCAAGAGACTATGTACAGCTCTAAAAGGCTGGTCTGGGTTTCCAAGAGATTGAAACACTTGTTGAACAGATCGATGACCGGTCATCAAGTATACAGATTTCGTTTAGTGGGTGGCAGCCAAACGGTTCTGATCCCCAGTATCTGTATCTTCTGTGTCATAGGTTCAGATACCATGACATGTTCGGCTGCCATGGTATGTTGCACTGAGATCAGAATCTGCCCATGGGCAGATTTTGATCTCAAAAAGTTGAGATTCAAGCCCTCGCGCATCCGAACGGGCCCTAAAACAGCTCATTTTAGCCTAATTTCTACTCCTGCAGCATTTTGTAAAAAATCAAAGTGCCAGGAAATTGGCCCCACCCAACTTGCTATTTATCCTTGAGGAAACAGAGGTATTGTAGTTTGTAGTGAGACCTCCTCCATCCGCTTCTGACAAAAACCCAGCCACCGATTCTTCAGACTGAACTTCCACTGCACAATGGATTCCCAGATCTGGTTGCTTCAACCAATGGCCTGACAGACTGTGACTGGCCAGTTCTGCATCCCACTTGTTCTGGGCTACCAGACTGCTTAGACAAGCTTTCTTCAAATGCCCATTTGATGTTCAGTGTTTATTGATTACCAGGCTAAGTACCAACAGAACCTCTTGTCTGCCCTTCTTGATCTCCCCTTCAACTTAGTTTCATACAGATTCATGAAATGCAAGGAGTCTGTTTAAGATTCATGGAATTACAGGCTAAGTACCAACAGAACCTCTTGTCTGCCCTTCTTGATCTCCCCCTTCAACTTGGTTTCATACAGATTCATGAAATCCAAGGAGTCTGTTTGAGGTTCATGGAATTAAGAAGTGAATCAAAAATATGTGTATAAACAAACAAGGAACCATAAGGAGGAAATCATTGGAAGAAGGAAGCATCCACTGAGATGAGATTTCATATCCATCTATGGATATAGATAAAGGACTGATCAATCTAGCCCTGTTATCTTCCATCTAACAGAACCCTATCATATCTCAAAGTATGTGATTATAAGCTATCAGTGATCCCTGATACTTTGAGCATGAATGTATTTGTATTTGTTTATATATGTATAGAATCCACCCTGTGCGTGGGTCAACTAGAGACGTGGGTTTTATACCAGCAAGAAATCAGGATACAAAAAGTAAAAAAAAAAAAAAAAAAAAAAACTCTGAGAAAGTGGTCACATTTCGGCGGGGATAGATCGTGATTGGAATGTTTGATTTGGGGGTTTCCAAGGGTTGGTCTAGGGGTTCATTTGGTAAGAGTCTTGTTTTGTTTGGTTTTTGAGTTATTGGTAAATCAATATTCTTGTTTGTTTGTTTGTTTGTTTATTTATTTTAGGTGGAATCAGCTAAGGAATAGAGACTTCTTTAACCAAAATCCAAGCGCCTCTAGGTTCGATCTTTCGGTAATATTCAGACACTTCGCCGTCGACTCTGAAGCCCCTCTTGAGATAGAACTCTTTAGCGTCTTCGTTTCCGAACTGGACATGCACATAAGCTGAAGAGATCGAGGGGATCTTGACCGGCTGGTCGTCGCCGTCCTCGTGGTTTGGATTAGATTTTGATTCCGAAGATTCGACTTGTTTGGTGACTGTCGATTTCTTGCCCTTCTGGCTTGTCTTCTTGCTCTCAGGGTTGTTTGTCGAGCTCGCTGTGGTCGTTGTTGGGCCCTCTCCATTGGCCTGAGAGGTCGATTGGCTAGTCTGATGTGTCTTTTGGGCGGCCGAAATCACTTGGTTCAATAGTTGTGTGGCGAGTCCTTGCTGGCGATAAGGTGCCAATACACCAAGGGTCATGATATCTATCACGATTCAGTCAGAAAGGATGCAAGTAGAAGCGTCAGAAATGTCAACTGATCAGGAGTAAAGGAACTCGATCTCACATAATTTGGTTTGGTTCGACGAGCCATTAGATTGGTTGCTTGCCGAACCATTGACTTTCCCAGTGGGTGTAGCTCCAGGAAGTTCCTTTGGGTCGGGTTCGATTCGGCAACAAACAGCACCTACTGGCAGATCGTTGTAATAAACTTTGGTTCCGTTTTTGAATGGTTTTCACGAAAAAGGAGAAGAAGGGTGAGATTCAAGTCAGTCTAAGCAATCCCGTGTAGTAAATCTGATGATGATTATTGAGCGAGCTTAGTTCTCAACTGAGTTTGCAATAATCCGAGAGATACTCATCAAGCACTTGATGATAGAACTTATCACTATAGCTAACGGGAAAGAGGACCGAGTTCAGCTTCCGGAGGGTGCCAACGTTGTTTGGGGTCCTATTTCGTTCGTTCGTTCGTTCGTTTCGTCCAGTTTCCAAAAGTGTTGGAAATGAAAAATCCGTTGGTCACGGTTAGCCATCGCGATCATGCCTATGTAGATGTGTGGTCAAAATATCGGAGAAAACTTTATTGACAGGTCAACAATTGCGATCCTTGGCGATGGTACGATCGTTCGGGCCTTACGAGTCGTAGCTGGGCTCGTTGTCGTTGTGGTTTCGGACATCGTTTCCTTGAAGACGGCTACAAAAATAAGACAGACAGAAGAACCAGAGCGGGGTTTTTTCTTGAGCAAAAAACACTGAGAAATGGAGCCAATCGTTCAAGTGTGACGACTCACTTGAGATCTTGACAAGCTTTAATCCCAAAGGTTGTTACAATCGTCGATGTCTTTTATGGTATGGTGGTTCAAGTTTGATGGACAGGAAACTTGTTTGAGGAACGAGATCGGTCGAGAGCTCAAGACAAGTATTTCAATGCGTTGTGGAAGAAAATCAAGACCCAAGATGCAAACAGTCTCAATGGAGGGAGACTTTGACAATTCAACACTTTTTGGATTCTTTCTTACAGTTGAGTACAACTTCAAGCCAGAGGAAGACATCAGTCAGCCCAGGAAACACAGAAGCTTCCTCAAAATACACCACAATCTTTAATCACCACAAACAAAAATGTAGGTAAATTTGTACAGCCGGAATCATGAACAAGGATTGATCAAACCATCCATTCCATCATTGGGAAATCGCTCTCTTATAGTGTCTATGTATCCACTGGAAAAATACGCATCAATAAATCTTCAGAGTACTACATACAGCTCATTATGTATGAGGAAACTCAGCAGCAAGCATGTTCCACTCGAGAAGGCAAGTCATGAAAATTGAACACGTATCCAATAGGTTCCCCAGTGCACATCTAAGACTTGTCCTTGGATAGGAACTCTATGTTATCAAGTTATATGCAGAATCAAAGGTTACTCTGAAGAATGCAGTAAAAATTCACATTCTTATCAACTGAGATTCTGAAATCTTGTCTTTTTGTTAAATCATTTGATTGATGATGACATTGATCACGGGAAATGAATCATTTCAATCATTCTTCATCTCCATACCAAAATTAAAAATCGTAAGGGAATATGCAGTATCATAGGTAAACAGTCATCAGAACAGGTGATACAGGATGATAAGCATGTATGGCAATCATAAAAATTCGAAGATTTTCATTTATTTTTTTTTTGGTTACAAGTGGTAATTATACAAGTGTAGTCATTAGATAATACGAAGACAAGTATCATATTCAAAGTTGAACATTTAATATAAGAGCACAAAGAATGACAAAGACCTGCGTGTATAATATATAGTAGTAGTAGTAGTAGTAATTTATGCACCCCACAGTCCAGCTCCCATCCCCTCAAAAATTTAATGAAAGAACAAACAAACAAACAAAAAGGAACGAAGACGATTACATAGCTAATAAGACAAAGTAAACGGGCGTAAAATAGAGCATTTGAGGATTGTTTTCCTTTCAAGAGTCTCAACGCTTTTGTTGAGTTGGGCTCTTATCTTTGTGCAAACCAGTGCGGTCTGGTCCTGCTTGGAAGACTGAAGTCGTCCTATCCGGAGATCCATCAGGATTGAGTTCTCTGAGATCTGAAGGCTGTCCCAAGAAATTAGAGTTATCTTCTGTAGGGCTCATCAAATAGGGAACGGTTCCCGTCGGCTCGCGATCGGTTTGGCTAGTTTCATTGACAGATGCTGCGTGAAGGTCTTTCGATACGACAGTTCGGTTCTGGTGATGACGCAAGGATGACTTTCGGCTCGACGAAGTGAACCCACGATGCAGGTCGACCTCTCTGTCTGGCACATGCACATCGACGACTTCGGACCCGCCTGGAACCCCGGAATAGGGCGCCGACATTGCTTGGGCATACAATGAGGCTATCCGGGTTCCACCGTCAGCATTGTTCGTCCTGGTGGGCTGGGATTCGTCAAGCATGCCGAGGTTGGAGGGTATCGAGCGAGGCTTGACTTGCGCGCGCTCGAAGTCGAAGACCTGGTGTGATGGGGCAGCTCTTTTGGATGAGAGCCCGTTAGACGAGATAATCTCAGCCTGGTTCTCGTAACCGGCGGACAGATACGAGGAGGACTTGGAATCATAGTCCGGGGAAGGCGACGAAAACGAGGGTTCCTTCCTCAGCGCGAACGCAGCTTCTGGTGGCACATAAGGCGGCACAGCCATGTGACCATGCTCGTCGAGGTCGGTCTCGTCATAGATTGGCTCGCCGAGTAGCGCTTCGAGCACGTCTTCCAGCGAGATGATTCCGAGCGGTTGGTCAGTCAATAATGCCTTCGAGGGCTGGACAGCAGACATTAACGTAAACGCCTCGGAAGAATTCCCCTGGGAGATGATCGGCGAAGATGATCCGTGCTTTCGTTTGAAGATCGAACTCCACCAGGGTCGTTTACTGGTCTCACCAGAGTTGCCCTTCTTTTCTACCTTAGGCTCATTCAGTTCAACATGCGCTAGGCTATTGGCTGGTGGACAGACCACGGCTAAGTGGCTACGACCCTCTTGAAAGCTATTCAATATGTTGAGCAACGGCATGTCACTGGCCACGTGGGGCAATGGGTTCAGTGGAAATTCCCGCAGGAGGAGCCCATCTGAAACAAGAAAGGGGGAGTGTCAGATAAGAAGGTTCAAGGATTGGTCGTGTTAAACGCTGAGACGCGTACCTTCTGGATCGATCAGGATCAATTGCTTGGTCAACAAAGCGCCAACAATCTTACGACCGGTGCCAGAAGGAGTAATCACGTTTTCGTATACTGGGATTCGAGAGTGGCCACTGGTCAGGATAGCGGACATAGTCTTGTAGTTCAACTGAGTATCAATGTTGAGCATGAAGCAATGGTCGAGTGCGGTCATCGAGTCTTGGACGACGCGTTCTTGTAGGTCGATTGCCGAGCCGATGATCGTCACCACATCCTCGGCCAGATCGCCGCCGTGCTCAGATTTGCGCGCATGGAGATTGACGAGTTCCTTCAGCTCGGAGGGCCGGTAGATGACCCCCGAGTGTTCCCCTATAAGCTTAGTCAATAACCGAGAGATGGGCCAGACTATAGGGTAAAAAAGGTAGATGAGAATCTGGACTGGTTTGGCGCAGAATGCACCTATCCGAAGTGCGTAGGTCGCGCAGACCGTCTGCGGTATGATCTCTGTGCAAAGTATGAAAAAAAATCAGTTAAGTTGTTTCTATCAACCCTGAGATCTCTAAATTTATCTATGATAAACTGACCGCTGAACACAATCACCAACACGGTGGAGATGATGATGGCTTGGATTCCACCCCCGAGAGCTTTTTCGGTTACTATTGGGAGGGTCTCGTTTGCGATCATGTTGGCTATCAAAAGACTAGCAGCAAAAGCATCGAGTGTGATGTGTGAGGTCAGGAACCATGCATATTGTGATTTAAAGGCAAAGGTGAGGAAGGAGCAGGACAGGACTCACGTAATTAAAAGCATGTGACCTTTTGCTCTTAATGGAGCCACCTTCTGCGCGAGTAATTGCTGTGCAGGCGTCCCACTGTTAGCGAGGACGGCCAGCTGAGTGGAATCCAAACTCATGTATCCTATCGTCAATCCTGAATGGTCGAGTTAAGATTCAGTTAGGCGGTTCAGGGCTACAAGAATGTATGTATGACTATTCTTACCTGCAAAGAGACCAGAGGCGAGGACGAGGACAGGAATTAGGACGATGGCCACCGCGTTGGTGGACTGGTTCAAGTTGTGAGTGACATTGTGGGGAATCGACTTGCGCCTTTCCAGGCTGGGCTGCTCACCGGCCGGCCCAGATTGATGGCCGATCGAGGTTGCGCTTGCATAATTGGTGAGCTGAGAAAGGAAAAACAAGGCGATGGCCAGTAACTGTAATGCAACAGGGTGGGGTGTATATCTTTTTTTGAGAGTGGAGTTGGTTATAGTGTGCTCCCCTATAGGAGGTTCATCAGTCAGCTCATCGTGGGCTTCTGACATGGGGCAGCTTTCACGTGGGATGGCGCCAGACTGCATTGATGTAGTGGGGTCGAGACAGGTCCCAGTGTATTACCACCAGTATCAATTGAAGATGACGATGTTTGTCGAAGGACGAGTTGATTGGGGCTGTGTGAAGGGTTCAAAGGGAGGAAAAACAGATATCTGTCAGTGTCGTTCGGTCGAATGGTAATTAGGACGCCAAATGTCAATCTTGGTGAATCAGAAAACAGACTTTTAATGTGCTCAGCTCAGACTAGATTGATGTAGTCTTGGTTGAGGTCCCTTGGAAGCGAAGTGAGTATTTATAAGTTGAGGGGAGTGTTGTACAAATTGAGTAAGGTATGTCAGAGGGTGATTCTTGGGCTGAATGGATTTGATTGTGAAGGGACAGAGGAGGTAGTAAGTGACAGGCAAGTTGGCAAGTGTGTTGGTAATTTGTAATTTCTTGTAGTGGAGGAGACAGGGGGGAAACCTGGGGAAGGGCTAGAAATAAATACGTGTAGATAAGGTTGCTCTCGGATTACGATTTGCTCTTTGGCACTCTCTGTTTAGCTGGATGGACTATGTTAGGCTGCATTTGTGCGTTTGTACGTAATCAAGTACAATTCACGCAAGTTTGGTTGGCCTGGATGGTTGATGGCGGAGCTGGTCAATGTGGGAGTGAGGTGGATCTATCAAATTCCCGTTTGGACAAACTCCGGTTCCTCGAGCAGGACTAGGGCAATCAACTCGGCCTGGAGCGCTTATCTGCAACGGGATGGCCGAGTGAGACTGGAGATGGCGGGTGGGCTTGATCGTCTGTGTAGACCGTGACCCAGATGGTGATTGTCCCTTACAGATCGATATTCTCGAGAAGCGATTAGCAGGCTAATAGCCCGGTTCACGTAGGTGCTCGTCCACAAATAAAATTTCTGCGACGAGCAATGCTTAACGACATCTCGTTAAAATTTTGGCGGGGTCCCACGCACAATTTAAGCAAAACAATTTAAGCGACGAGCAGTGTGACTTTTCACACATGTCATAAAAACGCCCTACGTGAACCGGGCTAATGGTGTTGACTTGGTTATACTGTGTGTGTAATAAATAGGTTGCTTGAGGAAGTAGAAATGCTGCCCTCTTCATGAATTATGAACAACCAAATCCTGCCAAGAAGACTCAAGATGGTCATGCTTGGCCACATATTTACGTCATGGAAGGTCATCAAAGCCTAGCTTACGTACATCCACATCTACCCCAAAATATAATTATTATGTTTGCACCTGTCTACATACACTTTCTCCATCCTTTCACCACCTGTGGCCACCACCTTTATACATACTCTAGCAGGGGATAAAGGGGGTCGTTAATGGTGGGCAGAGGGGGTGACTCGCGGGTGATTGAGAATCTCTGGAATCCCTGGAATCTCTGGAATCTCCAGAGATTCCAGAGACCGACAAAGCCCAAAAATCCATGAGTCCGCCCTCGAGCCACCGGCTTGGCCGACACAGTCATATGACCCCCGGCCCAACCACAAGACAGTCATAACTCTGACACAACCTGTAGTATGTATGTAATAATGGATCATCATGTAGCCCGAAAACCGTACATAGCCTTTCGGACCAAGCTAGCCCAACTGTCGGTCTCCATCTCCCAGAGGCTAGGTGCTAGGTCGGTCTCCACCAGAGGCTAGCATAGTCAAAACTCAACATCAACCCGGTCAACATGTATCAACAATTCCACCGCTCGACCGCATCCAGGACAGAAATCAGACATTGCTTTGTGAAAAATATCGCTGAGTTGTGTGTGTTTATGATTTTCCATCAATCTTCTCAACACAGTCAAGTGATTAACCCGATCAACTCATCCACAATTCTCTTTTCATTCACCCAGCACCAGCTGCCCTGCCGTAAATTACACCCCGATAGCATCTCTCGTGGACGTCTCACCGAACCCTAAAAGCCGCTCATCTTGGTTATTGCCTCGAAAATTTAACCCTCTCCTCGTCTCAGTTGGCAACACACGTGTCACTAGCGGATTCACTCAGAGATCAACTTTTCCGTGTTACCTCCCTGTCCTTTCCTCAATGCTGCTTCCTCAGACACAATCATTTGACTTCAGCTGCCCGTCATCGCTCGGCTTGGACTCAGATTTCGTCGCATTAACTTCCTCCTATGCCAATACCAACTTTGAGACGGACAGAAGTCAATATAACCGGCCAGAATATAGTGAGGACGACTTGAATTGCATTGAAAACAACTCATATCTACCCGGTCAGCTTGTCGCCAATACCCAGCTTCCTTCCAATGGTCAACTTCAACTGGCTACCAACGTTCCACTGGTCACTAATGGTCACCTTGTTGCGAACAGTCAGCTTTTTTCTACTAGTCAAACTGATGGACAACTTGTCATTACCGGACAACACATTGCTAATAATCAACATGTCGCTAATGGCCAACATTTCACTGATTGTCAACACATTGCTGCCGGTCAACACATCAATACCAGTCAACAAATCCTTGCCAGTCAACACGTCACTAACATTCAACACGTCCCTAACAGTCAGGCCTTGAACAATGACCCACTTTTGAGCACTACGGCGACCAACCCAAACCCTGTCACATCATCAAAGCCCAAACGCCAGCGCAAGAAACCTGTCAAGAAAGGTCTGGTCCTTCCAAACCCACCCGCTCCTCTTCCAAGCCCCCCAGCTCCCCTCCCAAACCCACCAGCCCCACCCATTCTCCCTGAGACCAAAGCTCCAAACGACACCACCCTCGAAGAACCAGCTCTCCATCTGAAAAAGCCGAAGCCCCCACCACGCTCACAGAGGTCTCCCCAGCTTGTTGAAAAGGCAAAGACCAAGGGGCTTGACGAGTTGATTAAACTTGTAGCTGAAGACTCAACCTATGTACGACTCTCGGCGGAAGATACTGTTGAGCTGAATGCTGCATACATCGAATACCAACGTCAGCTTTATATTATTGCATACAAAAATAAGTTGACTATTGAACCATGTTTGCAATATGTTGGTGAGGGATCCAATCCAAGGGGTCCAAGCAATTACAATAATTTTACCAGGTACGATCCAGAAGCAAGTAAGATATTTAATGATAGTGAGTCAACTCATAGTTCTCTTCCTCTCTCACATATCTTTATTTGAAACAACTCTCATCATTCAAATTCTTTAATTTTCACAGAATCCATTCCTCCAAATGATCGAGCACGTGAATTGGCCCGGCTGTGGAACTTACTCGACCCTGATACACAAGAGAAGTGGAAAGACCCTGTGTTCCTGGAATCAATCACGTGTGAAGCTCAAAAAGCTGGAGAAGAAACGGAAACTTTGGCTAATGCAACCAAGCGCAAGCGTAAAGGACCCGCACCTTTTGACTCAGATAAATGGGCAAATAAACTTGTGGCTGATGTGAGTTATATCTTGGCAAAAAGAAAACAACTTTTTTTCACTCACTAATCTTAGTCTGTTTCTTTGTTTGCACTCTTGGATTCAGTTAAGGCAGCTCAGCCGAAGTTCTGGACTGGAAGGCTTTCTGGTCCTTGGCTCCCGTGGAAAGGACAAAGATGACATGTTTGTAGGAGGAAGTCACTTGGGCGAGATGTTTCTTGACATGTATGCAACCAAGGATGATCCCTGTCAACTCTTTTCCGACTTAATCAAAGGCCAGAAAGCCGTGAAGACCATATCTGGTACCGAACCAACTCTAGTGATACCAAATAAAAAGAAGAAGCCGAGGGAAATAATTACAAAGCACGACAAGGGAAGTATCAAGGAGAATACTGAGTTCATACGTGAAAAACTTAATAAAGCAATTGGTGCGACAATTCTGTTTCTTTACCAAGGAGAATATTTATTCCTCACATTCTCTGACATTCCAGCCCTTTCTTTCTCCCTATCATCAGATACTGCTGTTCCTGGTGGCTATGGACGTGGTTGGCCAGGCACAAACACTCAAATAACACTCACAAAGCTGGGATTGTCATTACGAGTGCGGGACAACAACTTAGGTGTCACCCCATTCCACTTCTGCAAACGGCCGGGAGATATGAAAGACAAACCGGGTCAGTTGGTTGTTGCAGCGTTGGAGGAAGATTTGTTCGAACTTGTTCCTGTTTCGGTTTCCGGTTCATCTACTAGTTCAGGAGCAATTTCACGAACAAACGTAAACAAGAAGCGCAAACACAATGGGAGCGGCACTCACGGCGATGACTTGGAGGAAGATTTTGTACTGGGTTCTGACCCAACTATAAATGTTAATGAGGCTGCTGACAAGGAGAAAAGAGATAATGGCAGCAACAGAGAAGAGGAGGTCATATTGGGAGTGGAGGCTGAGTAGGAGGGTCTGAATAAAAATTCTAATGCTAAAGCTATCTATGTTTTTTTTTTCATGGTTTCAGAATAATTGATAGTATGTTATAAATTCTTGGCTGCATAACAAGAAATGAGATTTTTAACACACAAAAAGATTTGTACTCAATTTTCATTTACTGTCAGCCCTGCCTAGGTCTGGTTGATCATACCCATTGAAGAACACAGGGATTCATATTCCATAATTTTGCACCAATTGAGGATAATTCAAATGCCAGAAAGCTTTTGTGGAAAACAGTGGATGATCAGAGATTTTGTATCAAATAATTGGCTGAATTGTATTGAATATTTGGCTGAATCAAGTTCTTAGGTGAACATCCTCTTTTATGTAGTTATTTAAGCCTAGCTTGATACAAGAAATTAAAAATCATCAGTCTTTTAAACTGGTCCTAAGTGGAAACTTCAGCCTCCCCTTAGTCTTAATCTCAAGCACACTTTAGCCCGCTTGATTAAGTATAAATAGCCTCTTTCAGACTTCTGTCTGTTCTGGGATTTGCCAAACTTTTCCCTTCACAAGCCTTAAATTTTAACAGATTGTAATAATTAATACCACAGAGTTCTTCTCTGATAATATCATGGATCTAATAACTTTAGATTTGGTTGGTTCGGATGCCTTGATGTGTTTGCTTGAAGATTTAGCAGTAGTAAATTTTGAACTGAGTATTGAATCACAACAAATTAATTCCATGAATAACTTGTATTTGTATTGAATTTGATAAAACAAGGTTTTGAATGGGAAGATATGTTGAATTTGATAAAATAAGGTTTTGAATGAGAAGATATGGTGGATTAAGATTGGGTGGCAGAAGGTATATTTGAAGTTATGTTCATCACTGAGGGGATTTCATGGAACATAATGCCATGTTTCTTGAAGGAGACAATGTTTGTTGGGTGAGAAGATGTTGCCTATTGAAATAGGCCAAATAATTGTGTGGCCAGTAGAGCCTGCCTCTAGCTTCTCCAATACCCAAACTAAACATGTCATTCTAAAGCTGTTCTCATTTGTTCATAGGAATCCATAAAAATACATATTTCAGTTGGCCACTGTTCATTTCTCCAATACCTTACAATGATGATTCAAAAGCTGGCATTATTTGCTGATAAACCCTATGAAAAGGTACTATCATTTTGAATGATTATGTGTATTGGGTATGGGTATTGGGTATGGGACTTATATCTTTTTAACTCAATTTTAATATATTGATTTTTCTCATGGGGTTAATCAACAAATAACACCGGCTTTTAAATTGTAAATGTAGTGTGGTTATCAAAGGAATGACTAGTGGCCCCATGATCACAAGTCAATTCTTGAATACCCACATTTCATCAATTATTTGCATGACTGGTGATTTCTTCAACACCAAACTAAAAAATTTCATTCCAAAGCTGATCTTATTTGCTGATGGAAATCCATAAAAAATAATTTCAAATTTTGGAATTAAAGGAATCCATAAATAAATAGTATCAACTTTGGAATAATCAATGAGTGTGAGAATTGAAGAAATGACTGGTGGTAAACTAAAATATGTATGTTTTTCAGAAGCACTCATATTTCCATGATCACAATTTATTTATTCAATGGTCACACTAAATAGATTATTGATCACTATGAAAAAAACAATTTCATCTTTGGAATGAACAAGTTGTTTTGGGTATTGAAAGCCTGGTTATTGAACAAATGGCTAGTGGTCATGGAAATACATCTTCCTAGCTCTATTAACCCAAGATCTATATTCTAGCCCAATTTCTCTAGGATATTATCACCACAACATAAGAGCCAAACCCTTCTTCTAAAAGTATATGAAGTTGATGACATTAAATTCTACTAAATCCTTGGAATTATTGGTGTATTTCAAATTTTCATGTATTTGCACTATTGTCCCACAAGAACCGGTATTTTTTTGGTCTTTCTTCCATCTCCTGGTGTGTGATTATTATAGTTTTTTTATGTATATGATGTTCCTTGATGGTTTACAATCTCTGCAGTAGGTTGAGCTGTGTTATCATTCTTCTGGTTTTCTGTCTGCTTTTATTTTACCAGTGTTTTATTCCAAAGTCTACCATCATCCAGATTCCGGATTCCATTTCATCAAATTCTGTTCATCTCCGGTACAAAACTCAGTTGGCCTCGGAACAAAGAAGAACCTGTGACAACACTCCTACTAATTAGTTTCATTCAGACCAATCAGAATGGGAATACGGAAACCCTCAAAGAAAAATGGTGGAAGTCTCTCTCAGAGATTGCGACGCCAGGCGAACTCAGCATTTAATCAAAGCGCTTTCCACCGACTCCAGACACGTCCAACAGGCACAGCCTGAGCTGAGCAAATCCCAGGCCCAAGCGAAGGAGAAGAGAATAACTCCTACGAACCCTCTTATCAAGAAAACTCCACAAATTTTTAAGATGATTCCGATAGTGAAACCAATTCTACGAATGATGAACGGACAACCTGGGTGACTCTGCCTCCCGGGGACGAAAGCGAACAGATTGATGGAGCAATTGAGTCGGCTCGGGAGCGTTATCGAATCCTAGCGAAGGATTACAACTGGAAGGCCTTGATCAAACAGATGCATCCCCAGTACATCATTCTGCAACTCCGTACGAAAAATTGGGCTGCTCCTAATGCATATCAAGAATTCACAGCTCAATGTGCGTGTCCCTTGCAACACAAGACTTCTCGACTGGTAGACTTAGTTGATGTTTATGGTGTGTGTTCTTCAAAAATGATTCTCTGCATTATTTTCATTGAAACTTATAGAACCGACCAATTACTCACTAGCTCAATATTTCTTAACAGGGTAAAAACGAACAGAATCAGACTTTTGTCATTGTCAGCTTGATGCAGTCCGGCTCTTGAGGCAAGGTTTTATTGCAGGATCACCGATGTCCCCACAAACAGCCTTTTCCCTCCCTCTTCTAACCTTACATAACGAATTGTGGAACCATTGCCACATCAGCGTGCTCCCATTCACTTTGGCGCTTACCCAATGGCTTGAGCCACGATCGGAACGTCTGTGTGCTAAAAACCAACAGCATGTAAGTCCTTCATTTCATCCCAATTCAAAATAGTTAATAGTTTCTGATACTTCTTGTCAGGCCCGCGACATGCGCAAGCCTTTCTCAGCAGCCGTGGATATGTTCCGATTACTAGAGGAAAAAACAGCTGTGTTGATTGAGGAAGTCTTACAACTTAATGATCAGGAGATATTAGCTGGCCGAACCTGTCCAGCCTGCTTTGGACCCCAACCATCCAATTCGGCCGATTACCCAGAATCTACTCGTGATCGACTGATTGTCTGTCTGGACGGAAATTTCCAGCACAGACATAACTCACAAGCAAGCCGAGATTACGAAGCCCTCCGATCACCACACATATTCCTACCTGAAGGGGCAAGCGACAAGATGACACGTGAAATCCAAAACATGGAGCTTGTGAACCAACCACCCAATCGAGTAGGTCCCTTTATTTTGTGATATTGGCTGATTCCGGTGCTGACTTCAAGATATATGGATGTAATTCTTTGAACAACTAGGCCGATCGATGTGCAGATGCTCATAAGGCAGCTGATGACAAGAGAAATGAATCAACCTGGAAGGGGTGTGATGACACTGGCATCATGGGATGCTGCTGCCGCCATGATGCTGCAATCTCTATGTGCAACATATACAAGTCAGGTGAGCAGAGGTCCCTACCTTTGGCACTACTCAAGCAACTGCTTGGAAATGTGGAGGTTGGCCGGCCGGTTGGGGTTTTGTATGATATTGGTTGCTCCCTCCACAAGTATATCGGAGCGGTGAGTTTTCTTACTTCAGATACCATTTACAATTAAACCAGCAGTCTGATTATTTTCATTCCTTTGGCAATTCAGCGCGGTCTTCTGTCAGAATATGCACCTCAACTCACGTTCGGTACATCAATCTTCCACTCCTATGTCCACAACTGGATGTGTCAATTAGATTACAACCCAAGGTTCAACACGGGGTGGGGATTGTCAGATGGAGAAGGTCTCGAGCGATTATGGTCACATTTGTCACCTCTTGTAAGTCCATTGAGATATGCTAGTCGTAATCATCGATTAGGTGCGATTGCCCATCGCGTCAAGCATCACAACACAAGGGGGATAAGGCAATTGCGTCAGTGTTTCCTTCACCATTTATCTGGTATGTCCATCTTGTGCTGAATGTTACATAACAGCCTCATGGCTTTCAAAGAAATTCAAAAATGCACTCAAACGGCGCTGCGAGACTCGGGATGAACTGGAGCGTCTCTTGTCGACCCCAAACCCATTCAATGGTTCAAGATCAAACTACACAGTCTCATTTTTCAAGAAGCAATGGGCTCATCAGAAGACATTTAGAGCCGATCACACTGATGAAGAGCAAGAGCGAAGAAATAAACTCATAAAAATGTATGAGCACCGAGAAGCCCTTGATATCCAAAGGCAAGTTGAATCTCTTTAACAGCTTAATTGAAAACCAGTAGAATAACAATGAATGATATGCAGAGAACGACTTTTGGATCCAAATTTCAATATCCTCACAAAAAAGGAAGTGAACAAAATTTTTGATCGGATCGAAAAGGTATCAAAGGAGCTCAAAAAAGTGGAAGAAGAGCTGGGTGATGCCCTTCCATCCAGTGAAGTTAACGGTTAGTTTTTTCATTGCCATGACTAGGTCCCCAAATAATACACTGAAGGAGGATTTTGTTACAGATGATGAGCAGCGACTGCTATTGCTCCTCTGGAATTCTAAAAACCAACTGTATATGCAGGCAGTTCAACTACATGGCGAGCGACAGCCATACTTGGATTCAAAGCGGATCGGTACTCGCCTCGGAACCGAGCTCAAAGAGAGGATCATGAAGGCAATGCAAAATCGACAATCAGCGGTCAAGAGTTTGCTTGACAGCTTCAACGAGCTTCTTGGCGAATTTATTGAGAAATTTCCCAATCAGCAGGCGTGCGACTCATCACTCTACCCTCTCGAATACAGAACGTTCTCTCAGTGGCCTCTGGATCACCACTTTTGGAACGATGGATTGTACATGCGATGCAAGGAACCCTGGGGAATTGATCCAAACGTTCGAGCTGGAATCAACTGTGTGCTAATTCTCAGTCGTGTACAAGAGGAATTTCAACTCATTGCCCAGGAGTTGGCCAGGGCAATAGGGTGGGCAGTCGCATACTACAGTCGAATTTCGGACCGTATCACCTACATTAGCAGACGTACGCATACCTCAGTCTCTCTTCTGCTCTCTGGATGGTTTGATCTCAGCAATTTTTTTTCAAAATGCTTGGCAGGAATTGGACTGTTGGCGAACGAAACAAATACATCTGAAGACATCGAACTTGACTACATCGACAATTTGGAGCTTTGCGGCTTGAGTCGCTTAGATAAGTTACGGGTGATTAGGAAAATACTACGACATCATCGTTCAACTCATGCTACATTAGTGGGCGAGTGGCATTCGCATGTCATGTGGCTGTGTAGCCACTGTCAGCCAGCAAACAATCGAATCGCATTACAGCAGCAATGGCAGCAGATGAGGCATGAAATTCGACGCGATCAAGCGGAGTCGGTTGTGGTAAACACAGGCGAAGTGGATGCGGCACTCGAGGAGGGTGTTCTGGAGGTTGGGCAGGATGATGGAGAAGATGCTGATGGTAATTGGATGACCGATGAAGAACTTGAAGACAACCAAGAAGAACAAGATCAAGATCTAAACACAGAGGAGTCTCCAGCTCACACAGGAGATGCTGGAGTCAGCGCAGAGGTGGGTGATCTTGAGCAGTCTTCATCGCTTGTATGATAAAAACATCTATGGTGCATCTTTCACTTGGTCTTCATGTACACTTCACTTTCATTTTTTTTTCTTTATCCGCTCATTTTTTCATTTATATTCTGCACTATTATTTTGACCAAACCCATGCAAATAATGATGATAAACTATCTTTCTGAATCAATGCAAAGCAAGTCAAGAAATTGAAAATTGAACACGATTCAAAACCAAGTTGTGTGCATGATGCTCTGAGAGAAAAAAGCAAGTAGATTATAAGGAACAAACGTAGCCGTTGGCTGTGAATTGTTGTCTTGTGGTGGCAGGCCCGTCGCTTGTAGGTGTGTTCGTTGGACCTGAAGACCTTACGAAATTTATTCCTTACATGTGTTTACTGGTAAGCGGACACAATCTTTTGTGTCTTGATGATTGGTTTCCTACCAGAGACGCAATAGCTATCCGGAAGGCGACGGATCGAGGGAGGGTTATGTCAGACTATGACCGTCTTGGCCGGGGGTCATATGACTGTGTCGGCCAAGCCGGTGGCTCGAGGGCGGACTCATGGATTTTTGGGCTTTGTCGGTCTCTGGAATCTCTGGAGATTCCAGAGATTCCAGGGATTCCAGAGATTCTCAATCACCCGCGAGTCACCCCCTCTGTCCACCATTAACGACCCCCTTTATCCCCTGCTAGAGTATGTATAAAGGTGGTGGCCACAGGTGCCTTTCACGTTGGAAGTCTGCATGAAATCCGAAATATTGCAATTTGTAGTTGAAAAAGAATGCAAAAACGTTCATGGATTGATTCCAAGCTGAAAGATGACGCGTCTCTGTTGGCAGATCCAGGCCCCCGGTTTAAACTTTGGCCACCTCCAGATCTCCCAGATGTGATAATTAAGATTACATAGTAGGGTTCCGATCCGGACCCCAAAGATCCGGCGCTACCCGACCGGGTACCGGGTCGAGTCGGGTCACGGGATGACTCTAGACGTACCCGGTATCCGATCGGGTATTTTGATGCCTAAAATTCTGCCCTTTATGGCAGAAGTTTGGGGTTTTTGGGGGTTTTGGACCCTTTTTTTTCGAGATTTTTCTTTTTTTTCAAAATCAAAAGTTAGTTTTGGGCTCTCCCAAACCGCTTGGTGAAGTTTGGGCTGGAGGCTCAGATCCGTCGGGTACCCGGCGTCGGAGCCGGATATGTCGGGTTCGGATCTCGGAAAGGCGATACCCGAACCCGGAGGCCCGGATCGGAACCCTATTACATAGAACCAAGCAATTCAACTGGCTTGCACAATCAGCAAACTTTCTCAAAATCACATATACTGCCCTGATAGCCATTCCTACAGCAAGTCTAGGAAAACCCTAGAAAGTCCCCATAAATGTCAGCTGCCAATGACCAATTTTTTTTTGTAAAACTCATCCATCAGAAGACATTGGAGAGTAGCTATTTTGACTGGTTCATACACATTCAGGGTGTATATGCTTGTGGTAGAATTCACCAAAAATGGCAAGAATTCCCTCAGAACTTTGGGAAGCACTCTGTCTGGGCAGGTTTTCACCATAACTGTGGTGTTAGCTATAGGATTTTCTGTTGAATATTAGCAAAATTATCCACTTTGGTGCCATTCAACTGTTGAGGGGACCAACAGGGACTGAACAGACACAGATGTCATGGCTCAGGATGAGGTGTTTGAGTGAGTGATAGATATGATTTCAGTGAGAAAAAGCTATGATGGCACTACCAGTAATGAGTGTAGAGATGGGACCTTTGGTAGCAGTGGACAACACTGCTATCATACAGTTACTATGTTACAGATAGCTCAACAGTAACACCCAGCCTAGCACCAGCCCCTCATTTCAGTGTGCCCCCTGGGATCAGAATTCAGTGATGCCTCCCCTTTTCCTGAGTTCAAATTTCAAAATGCTCAGCATACATGTCTAGTGCATCTCACACCCATCCAAAAGCCTTCCACCATGATCCTTACCCCAATCCTATCATCAATAAGAATCCACAAGGCTTTCAACATGTGTTGAACTTAATACCGAAGCGGAGTGAACTTTTTGGACTTTTTGTGGGAAGAAGAAAAAACAGTGAGGTTGTTTTATTTTTCACTGGACCGGCTCAGGTTGGCGAAAAAATAAGGAAAAGAAACGATGGTTTGATTCACATGTAGCTAGCATCATATAAGTAGTCTATGTACATGTGGTCAAACTGTGGGCAAGATTTAAAATGAATATGCAAAAAATAACCAAGGGCTCATGAGTATAAGTCACACAAAAAGATAAGACAAGCTAGAGAGTTGATAAGTCAGGGATGTCAGGGTTCAATGACTACAAGACATGTGATCAGACATACTGACTAAACATTGTACAGACTATGATGAGTGAAGAAACAAAGAGTAGAAATGATAATAATGATCTGGGAATTTGGGGTGAGTAAGAGGAAAAAGATGAAATTTCAACAACATGTTCCCATCATCAAAAAACCAGACATCCCCATTCAATCAATTTCAAATAAGAAGGCCCAGCATTGGACAACACAACAGGGAATATCTTGTAAAGAGAGTACATGAATTATTGAAGCTTTCCAAAAAGAATCAACATTTAAGTGAAGCTTTCCATGAAGACTGAACATGCAAGTTTTATCCAGGCTCAACAAGAATAGAAATCAAGTGCCAACTGCATCACCCAAATTTTAGAGGCTCTCCTACACATGCCACTCAAATCCAACCCAACCTCAGGGGCACATCAACCAATCAAAAACCATATTCATGTAAAAAAATCAGGACTTGAGAAGGATCTATTTATGTTGGATGGTATCAGGCAATAGAAATAACCCTTCTGGTTTGTAGCCATACTGTCCAAGTTTACTTGGCCATGAAGGGCTTCACTCATGGACAAAATAAGTTACAAAAAAAGTAACATGTAACATTCTAAATATGAGTCATGTCAGCCTTAGAGCCAGCACAGCTGACCAAAAGACTGCTTTTATCATCTTTTCTCACTATAATATTACCATAACTTTTTACTCATAAGATATTTCTTGAATCTGACTTCAGATATGGATTTCTCTGCTAAATTAACCCCTAGTCACCACTGACCACTTTTATCTTACTCCAATCCTTCATATACTTTGCTTTATTCCACAGTACTTGTCTAAATTCTGCTACTCAAGAATTATAGTCCCCCTCTACCACAAGTACATGTAATTATTACGTAATCCAACTCTGAAAATCCTGTCTGAGGATTCTAAGTTCGCATTTTTCAGGATCTTCAAGGTTTTCAGACTCACTTTGAACCAGAACCACCGACAAACCAACCAACCCCGTTACCGCTTGGCGCTTAACTTGTCGAAAGGATCCCAACTCCCAGTTTTACCTCCACGTGGTCGTGCTAGGACTCTGACAGTTAGTATTCTTTCTTGTTGCTTGATTTCCCTGTTGCTCTGTTATCTCAGTCTCACCTATGGTTCTTCAACCATATCTTTCTCTCTAACTCTCTTTCTTTTAAATCAAATCAATCATACTCTTCATCTCATTGTTTGGTGGTAAACCTGAAAACCACATAGGTTTCCCTTTAAAGAGCCTTGATCATAGATCTAAAAAATAGTGGTTAGTTCTGAACATATTCAAACTAAAACCTTCTACAGTTTCTTTTGTAGAAGAGGCTAGTCTTTGACAGCTTATCAGCCATCCTACTAGAGGAAAGTAAGACTGCAGATTCACTCAAATAAAAGATAAAAACAAATAAAAACTATTTCTCTTTCTCCTTCTATTTTTCTTTCTCTCTCTTTCCCCTTTCTCTTCTGACTTCTGGTTGTATTTCTCTTTTCCTCGAAATCCAATCAGTAGTTCCCCCTTCTTTTCTTGTGTCCTGTTGCCACATAAGAGGCTCAGGCTCACAATTCATAACATTGTGTGCTGCCATGCAGTGTCATTGTGCATATGTAGAATGCAATCCAAAATTTTAATTATTGAGGAAAAGACTAAAAGTCTTGTACAGTGGGTAGACAGTGAAAAGTGGCTGCTTATTTTGAAATCCAGAGCTCCAAAACACAACCTTGAAGTTGTGAGACTTGGTCAGGTGGTGCATAATAGATCCCAAAAAATGAATATGAAAAAATAAAAACAAAAAATAAAGTTTCAAAATTTGTGAAAAATAAAAGATAAAATTACTTTTTTTCAAAAGCTTTGATATTAATTTTGGGGGAGTGGGAGTGCTGAGAGTGGGGTAGAGAATTGGGTGGGTTTGGGTCAGCCCACTCTAATTTCTCTCTGCCCCGGTTACTTTGGGGGCGGGTTTGGGTTGGGCTTCCCGCCCATTGATCTCACCCAAATTCAATCCAGTTGGGCCACAATTGGGCTGCTTGGTCCCCAGTGTTGCCTGGGATTGGTAGGCTTGTCATCAACCCATTGGCATTGACCAGTGTCAGACACAGGCAATTGGCCAATCTACAACTACACCTTGTCATCACCCACTCACCCATCCCAAAACAATGGGGGATGGGGCAATCGGCCCCACCTTGTTGTCACTTTCTCTATCCTCCCTCCCCACTGAAAGTCATTTACCTTTATAATGGCTATGTAAACACTCGAAACATAAGAAAAAGTGGAATTGATAAAAAAAGAAAACCAATTGATTGATTGAAGGACAAGAAGAAGGAATAGTAATAAATAACCACTGAAGTGATAAAGAAAGAAAACAGTCAATTTTACTGGTGATCCAATCTCAACCAGTCTTGTGTGCAGATAAGCGCCTCAAGGGTAGGTGGCTGAAATCAGCTTCTGAAGTCGTCTAGAATCCAACCACCAGTTGAGAAAGCTGATTCCGAGGCAACTGCAGTCATCTGTGTCATCAATATTGTCTGAGCAAGCTGAGATAAGTGTGGAAAGCGAACATAGTTTGCTTTCCACCAGTCAAGGATGTTGAGTTTGGCCTGACATGGGACTTTGACATTTGGTTCTTGAAGATATAAATTGAGCTCGGCGGTTGGTGAGGCATTACTTGTAGATTGCTTAGTACTGGCAAGGAATC